TGGGCAGAACCTGAGCCTGAGGTGGGTGGGGGGGTGGGCACCTAGCTCTCCATCCCCTGACGGCCTGTCTGGCTCTGTCCCTCCAGTGCTCAGCATTGGGGAGGGCGGTTTCTGGGAGGGAACCGTGAAAGGCCGCACGGGCTGGTTCCCTGCCGACTGCGTGGAGGAGGTGCAGATGAGACAGTATGACACACGGCCAGGTGAGTGACCCCATGTCCCCCCAACAGCTCCTGGGGGGCCCCACCCCTTCTGGTTTCCCTTTGGTCTTTCTTGGCGCTAGATCCACAAAGATATTCACAGAGAAAAGACTAGAAGTAAACCCCAACACACACTTAAAGTAAGTGCAAACTTGTGTACACAACACAGACACAGTGCACACATACCCTGCACATACCTAGGAACATGCATGCGTGCAACCAGACACTCCACGTGCAGTGGGGGGAGACACATGTGACGTACCCCAGGAGGTGCACATGTATGACCATGCCTCAGTCTTTGTGATCCCACACGTGACTCCCAGTGATGGTGACTGCCCCGCCAGCACAGGCCGTACAGAAACACCAGGTGCGTGGAGTGCGCGATTCCTGTGCGGCTGGCAGACAAGTAAGGAGGTCAGTGTGAGAAAAGAGGCGTTTTTCCAAAGTGGACAGATTGTCCAAGTGGGCAGAGCAGGGAGGCCCAGACCAGCCAAGAGGAAATGAGGCCAGTTGGGTCTGGAGGTGCTCTTGTGGGTGCCCTGGGGCAGAGATGGTATGAGGGCAGCAGAAGAGGGTGGGCCGGTCCTAAGCTTGCAGGGAGGATGTGAGGGTGAAGGATCGGTCCAACCTTGCTGACCACCTGGGGTTTCTGAAAGGACCCCTTGGGTGTTGGATCTGTGGAGTCCTGCTGGTGGAAAGCAATGGCTGGTCCTTTGGGGATCCCAGGCCAAAGCCAGACGCATGTCTATGGATTACCTTTGCAAGGAGCTCTCAGGGATTCTGGGAGGACCCCAGACCCATGAGTGTTGCTTCTGGCCTGGACTGGGAAAGCAAACCTCTGCTGATTGATGGTCACTGGTGGTTATCAGTGGTGTGTCTTGACTGAGATTGTATGCATCCCTTTCTCTGCATGTGAAGGGCTCAGGGTTGCTGTGTCCCCTTCCTTGGATTTTGGGTTTTCCAGGGAAGCCCCCCTCACCATGTGCCCTGGACCCTGTCCTGTGCTGAGCTCCTTGAGGCCCAGGGGGACAGGAGACTCTCTCCTGAGCAGGTACCCTTATTCTTCACTTGGTTGTGCCCTGCCTCACCCTGATGACTCTTTTGGTGACTTGGGGTGTGGAAGGGACTGGGCCCTACTTGTTTTCTGCCTGTGGAGGGTGGATGGGCAGAGGCTAAATGGGCCTTGATTTCAGGGGTTTAGGCCTAGGTTTCAACAGGAGAGGGAAGGAGAAGGGAGGAGAGGGGAGGAGGGTGCATTTTCTGGGCTCCCTCATGTGGCGGGTATTGAAGGCTCTCTACTGAGGAGTATGGATCTAGGGGCATTTGGACCTAAGTCTGAGGCTGAGGGGTAGGGAGTAAGAATTTGAAAGCAGAGAGCAATGTTTACCAGACGTTTGCTGTATGCAACAATATCTGGCCCTGTGCTGGGAGCTGAATTGCAGTGGCAGGCTCACAGCCTAGAGGGGAACAGGTATACAGGACGCATTAGGATGTCACTGTGTCTGTGAGTGGTGTGAGCGCAGGCTCCCTGAGTTGGCCTGAAGAGGTCAGAGGGCTTCAAAGCAGTGGCATGGTTTGAGCTGAAAGTCCTCAAGTGGTCAGCAGATGAAGGTGTGGGGAGAGCATGTGTTTGCAGGGCCTGCATGGTGTTTTAGAGCTGTGTGTGTCCACACCTAGTGTGCTCTGGGCAGTGCTGGGGTATCTGGCATGGTGTTAGCACTTTTGCAGCCCTGGGAAGAGGGGCCGGTTGTTTTGAGCACATTTCTAGATAGTCACATGGCCCTGAGAGGCAGGGTCCTGTTTGTGATGTAGGCAGGTGGCTGTGTGAGTGAGATGTGCATAGGGTGAGGGGGCGAGGCCTGTGTGGGGACTGTGAGGCTGGCCAGGTGGTCATGAGATCAAGGGGCAGCATGGCGCTGTGGGGAGGAGAGCAGCAGCAGCTGTCTGATTGTGCAGGCGTTCAGGGTCAAGGACCCGGCAGGGCAGAGAGGTAGAGAAGGAGGGGTGGGCTGAGGTAATGGAGCAGCTGGTGTGGGGTGGAGGGTCTGGGCTCCAGGCAGCAGCTGTGGGTGTGTGACCAAGGGCAGTGAGCTGGGCATTGGAGGTCCCTGGGTAGACAGGAGTGTTTCACGGGTGAGCAGAGGGAGATGGGCCTGCAGAGGTTGCTAGCGGGTGGGTGAGAACAGTGGCAGCCTCCCTCTGATCTCAGCTGTGGGCCCTGGTGGTGACTCTGGGCGGAACCTCTGATCTGGGACCCAGGGCCGAGTTCCAGAGCAGGAATCTGTTTTTCAAAGGCGTAGGTTAAAAACAAAAAACCACCCCCCCCGGAATCTGTTTTTGCATCTGGAGTGGGGACAGAGAAGGACTTAAAGGCCATGGAGGGGACACAGAGCTGACATGTGCAGGTCAGGCTGGTGCCAGGGTCAGTGCCTGCTTTGAGATCAGGAAACAGGTCCTGGTCACTCACTGGGGAGAGAGCAGCTTCCCACGGCACCTTCAGGAAAGGAGTAAAAGGAGCCATGGCAGGCAGAGAGGGTGGAGCTGTGAGGGGAAGGAATGGCAGGCGGCCTCAGGTATGCTCTGGAGGCTGGTTGTGCAGGAACCTTGAGGCCCAGCATGACCAGAACCCTGTGCTATCCCCCTGCTTTCTTTGTAGTAAGGTCTTTGCTTGAGGGGGTTTTACTGGGTATTTTCCCTTTAGCTGACTTTTATGCATCTGATTAATAAAACCAGAAAATGAATTTATGTTATATAATAAATACAACTTGTTTGGTTGACAAAATTTAAAAATAGGAGAACTGCAAGTTTAGGGGTCCTTCCTCAGGCAGGTGCATTTCTGTGGCTGGGTTGAGCATTTCTGTAGCTGGGTTGACATGGAGAAGGGTGTGGTGGAGAAAAGGAGGGGTCTGAAACCCTTCCTGAGCAGTGATGAGACTTGGCCTAAGCTGATCTTGGGAGTGGTGGGACAGTGTGTGCAGCTGTGGTTGTGGGGTTACCAGGATGTTAAAATAATAGGCCACCAGAACCTAGGGGGACCCTTTAAGGTTAATTTTCCTACTCCTTAAGGAGAGGCTCAGAGGGGACTGTCAACTTACTGAGAGACATACAAGTTAGTGTCAGGGACCTAGAATCCTGCCCCATACAATTCTTGACATCTGTGTCTTTTGATAAGAATAGTAACTCTTCTTTCCATCCAGCCACTGCTCCATGTTTTCCTATCTCCATCTATCCTTTGACTCACCTATGCATCCCATCATCCATCTACTCATCCATTGACCCATCCAGCTAACCCAGTCCACCATCTCCTCGCTTCTTGTCTATACATTCATCCATTCATCTACCCACCTACCTGTCTACTCACCCAGTCTGTGTACCCATCCATCCACCCAATTCATCTATTGATCCATCCATCCAGTTCATCCATCTATCCACCCACCCTGCCCATCTATTGACCCATCTATCCATTAACACAGTTCATCCGTCCATCCATCCACCCACTCACCTACCCAGGCCATCTATTGATCTGTCTGTTCATCAATACACCCAATCTGCCCATCTGTCCATCTACCCATCTATCCATTCATCCAACCAGTTCACCCACCCACCTACCCACCCAACCCATCTGTCCATTACCAATCTACTCATCTCCTTTCCATTAACCCATCCAGTCTGTTCACCCATCCCTTCTCCCTCCCTCCCTCCCACCTTCCCTGCCTCTCTCTCTCCCTCCATCCATATACCCATTTATCTTTTTTTTTTTTTTTTTAAATAGAGACAAGGTCTTGCTATGTTGCCTAGGCTGGTGTAGAACTCCTAGGCGCAAGCAATCCTCTCATCTTGGTTTTCCAGAATAATGAGATTATAGGCATGAGCCATCATACGCAGCCCCATTTACCTTTTGATCTGTCCTTCTATTCACCCATGATAGATCCACCCATCCACTCAGTCAGCATGCAGAATACATGTTATATGCCAGGGTGCTGTGCTGGGTACTAGAATCACAGAGATAAATAATATATGGTCCCTAACTTCAAGGCGCTCACAACTAGTGGGGGAACACAGGTCATCGAAAATTGTAGGACCTGGATAACCCACTTTTCGGGTCTCCTCTTACTGCTGAGGGCTTTCCTGTCTCCTGATAAACTCTGACTTGCTCACAGAAAAAACACACAAACACCAACTGCAGGACCCTCTGATCTCGTGTCCTGTGATGCTCTCTAACTCTCTCTGTTCTGGCTGCAGAGGCCCCGAAGTGTCCCTTGGCTACTCTGCTGTGGGCCTTGCCCTGACGGCTCTCGCTCCTGGGAAGCCCATTACCCGTGTATCTGCAGGCTGCTTCATCCTGTCTGTGACCCCTCAGAACTACAGACTTTCTCTGTGCCCCTTACTCTGCTTTCTTTTTTCTTGATCACTTGCCAGAGTTTGACATGTTTATATTTATATATGAATAGAATATATATATATAATATATATTATACATATGAATAGATTATAAGCTCCACAAAGGCAGAGACTTTGTTCTGTTCTCTGCTATATTCCCAGAGCCTGAAACAGTTTGTCTGGTTCATAGTAGGAGCTCAATAAATACTGTTGAAGAAAAAAATGAATCTTGAGAAATACTGCAATGAGAGGAAGTGAGGGAGATGCCGAAGAATGAAGTTGAGGGCAGTGGTGGTGCCACTGTGGGGGCCTCCTGAGTCCTGGAGAGTAGAGCTTGAGGGGCTGGGCAGCCAGGAGGGCAGGGCTCACAGGCAGCTGGAGGAGCCTGCAGGAGAGAAAGGTCGAATGTGGACTGAGCCTCCAGGAGATCAGTGAGGGCGAGGCAGGGGGCTGACTGCTGGCCAGCTATGTAGTGGCCATGAGGGACTGTGAGATCAAGAGGAAGGATGCGGACAGAGTTCTGGGATGCAGTGAGCTTAGGGCTGGGAACCCAGCCCCTCACAACTGGACTCTTGTCCCATTCATGGCAGAGTCTGAAGCAAGAGACCCCCTGAGGTTGAGCATCAGGGGGCTGTTTCGAGGAATTTGGCGGAAACACCGTGCTGCTTCCGTGCACGGCATTTGTGCATGAGTGCGGGTCCCACACACTCAGATATGCACGTGCTTGTGCATGAACACAGAACTCACACACACATGCACAAGTACTTGCACTCAAATGTGAGTCACATCCAGACACACAGCTGTGTGTACATGAGCACACACCTGCTCACACACAGACACACATGTGCATGAGCATGAACACAGCATTCACGCAGGACCGCGGGTCACACACATGTGCACACCCCCTCTTTGCTGTCAACTCTGGGGCTCGCTGACCCTCTGTGGATGGCCCTGGCCTTGTCTGTCCTCCTGCATTCAGCTATACAGGAGATGAGCCGCAGCTGCTGCCCCCTCCTTGGACCCAATCCCCAGAGGCCAGAATTTTCTACATTGTCCCCTCAGCCTTCTTGCCTCAGGACCTCTGGACCCAGGGCCCCAGGATTTGGGGCTCCCCACTTCCATCTGAGTACAGCCAGGCCGAGGGTGTATATGTGGGCAGAGACGGGTGAACAGCGTGGCTGAGGGCAGTTCAGGCCAGCTGGAGGCCACGACTGTCTGTCACTCCTGATACTCCCTTCAGAAACCCGAGAGGACCGGACGAAACGGCTTTTCCGCCACTACACAGTGGGCTCCTATGACAGCCTCACTTCACACAGGTATGCGGGGACACCCGCTGGGGCTTGCAGATGGCGTGTGGGGTGGCAGGCCAAGAGCTGGTCCAAAAGGCCAGGTATGAAAAGGTCAGAAGAGAGCTCGAAGGTGCCTGCCCAACTCTCTTCTGCCGTCCTGGTCTGTCCAAGGGTGGCCAGGGGGGACTGTGCCTGTGGGACCCTGTGGGTAAGCCTGGGTGGCTGACTTCCCTACAGGGCTCCCCTCACCCCTCCCTGCTTTCCTCCATCAGTGATTATGTCATTGATGACAAAGTGGCTGTCCTGCAGAAACGGGACCATGAGGGCTTTGGCTTTGTGCTCCGTGGGGCCAAAGGTAATGGGAAATGGGTGTCAGGTGGAATGGGCCGGGGCTCAGGCTGCACGCTTCTGGGGAGTGGCCTCTGTTTCTTGCCTCTGTCCCTCCCTGCTCACCACTGCCCTCACCCTGTCTCCCTCCCTGCTGCATCCTGGCCCCTAGCCTCACCCCTGTCCCCCATCTTCACCTCCCCGCCTCCCGCCTTGCCCTTGCCCCTCCCCTTTTTGGCTCCACCCTTCCTGGGTCCTCTGCTGTGGTTGTGACTGAGGCTTGGTTTAGAATGTCCCCTTACAAGGCGGTAGTTCCTTCCCTTTGTTGTCTTCTGTTCTCTTTGTTGCAGGGTGTCTAGTGGGGGGCTTTATGGTGAGGGTGAGTGGGAGATTTTGCAGAGGTCATGCCCAGTTCCTGGGCTAGCTCTTCTTTGCGCTGCGTGGCTCTCACCTGCTGCCCTCCTTCAGCCACGGGTCACTGCCCCAGGTAGTCATGTCTTTCACGTGTTGAACCACTCGGAGGTTGCTGTGTGGCAGCCACCCCCACCTGAACCACGCTGGTGAAGTACCTTCCTAATTGCCCCCGCAGCAGAGACCCCCATTGAGGAGTTCACGCCCACACCGGCCTTCCCTGCGTTGCAGTATCTCGAGTCCGTGGACGTGGAAGGGGTGGCCTGGAGGGCTGGGCTGCGCACGGGAGACTTTCTCATCGAGGTGAGACTCACTTTGACCTGTGTGGCCTGGTGGGGTGCTGACCCCCGAGCCCTAAGGGGGCCACCTGAGGCGTCCCCACCTAGCTACCTGTCTGTCCCAGGTGAACGGGGTGAACGTGGTGAAGGTCGGACATAAGCAGGTGGTGGCTCTGATTCGCCAGGGTGGCAACCGCCTTGTCATGAAGGTTGTGTCTGTGACAAGGAAACCGGAAGAGGATGGGGCTCGGCGCAGAGGTGAGGAGTCAGGCTTCAGGCCTCTGCCCAGACTCTCCCCTCTTGCCCCTGGCCTTAGACCTCTGACCTCAAGCCCACACTCCTCTTCCCACTCCTGACCCCAGACTGCTGACCTCAGATTCCTGAACCCAGGCAAGTGCTCGCACTTGTGGGTTGGGGCCCTTCCCAGTCCTTGATGTTAGGCTGTCTGCCCTGTCCCCTGGCTCGAGGCCTCTGACCCCTGACCCCGGGTTGCCCTCCTCAGATCCCTGCCCCCTCCTTCGTGGCGTTCCCCTGGCCCCTGGCGTGGCAGAGCCCTTCTTCCCTACACCGCCAGCAGCTGCCTGGAGGCCGGGGTTGCCATGGCAACTGTGAGGTTGACGCTGCCGTGCTGCTTATTGTCGGAGGGAAGGGGGAGGCGGCACCTGAGGGAAGAGGAAAAGCGTCTTCTCCCCGCGACGACGCGGCACAGCCTGGGCCCAGGAGGCTTTGCCAGCCAGGCCAGCCCAGGCCTGTGGCTTGCTGACCACAGCTGAGGCCCCCACGGGGCACAGGCCACTTGGGCCTGGGGGGAGCCCTGGAGCTGTAGCCCTACCTGCCGGGAGACCCCTCCCCACCCCCACCCCATGGCTCCGGTGCCCCTTCGTTGGGCCCTTGGAGCCTGCAGGGTGGGCGTTCAGGCCAGAGCCAGCCAGCGCTGTGACCCCCACCGGCACTCCTGACTGCCTCCTGAGGCCCTGGCTCTCGGGTTCCCCGGGGCCCCTGAGGCCCCAGCCCCAGCACTCCTGAGCGCCTAGCGCCATGAAGAAGTTTGCATCCAGCCGTAGCCTGAACAAGATCCTGGCCCAGTGCGACTCGTCCTCCCGGGAGTACGAGGAGATCCAGGCGGTGGAGCGCAAGTGGCACCTGCACCTGGCCACGCCGCGCCGCCTGCTGCTGGACAGGAGGTCCAAGGCCTCCCTCTTCTTTGCAGCCCCACCGCCCCCCAAGAGGGCCCCCAGCACCACTCTGACCCTGCGCTCCAAGTCCATGACAGCTGAGCTTGAGGAACTTGGTGAGCACTGGGGCGGCAGGGGAGTGGGTGTGGGTGGACGGCCCAGGATGGGCAGACAGGGCGGGGGACATGGGCAGTGTGGGAGGACAGGCAGACACAGGGGAGGAAGGGCAGGGGGATGCAGGCAGGTCAGAGGTAAAGGGGGGGTGCTGGGGAAATTTGGTACCCGTGAGGTGAGGAGGGGCATGGCATGTGGAAGCGATGAGGCCTGAGGGATTGGAGATGGACGGTGGGGTGGCCAGGACAGATGGATGGGGAACAGGGCCTGGTCCACTGGTGTGTTTGCACGTGTGTGCACGTGTGTGTGTGCACGCGCGTGTGCGTTTGCTGCCTCTGGTTTTTCACGGCCCCGCTCTGACTCTACTCCTGCATTTCATCCAAGTGAGAAAAGTGAGAAAAGAGTAACAGTGAGGTGACCTGGGTCTGCTTCTGGCTCTGCCAGGCACTGGCTGTGTCATCCTTGTGTTTATCTTATCCTCTTGGTACCTGTTCACTCAGTGGTCAACTGGGCCTGCTGACCTCACAGGCCATGTGAGCACTACTGGTGGGACGATGGGATGGCCTCGTGAGTGACAGGAGGCGAACAAGAGTGTGTTGGGCTTCAGTGGGGCACATTGTGGGCACAATCCCAGGTTGACCACCAATGGCCTCATTGTGGGCATGTCTTGACATCTGTGACCACTTGTCATAGGCATGTCCAGATATACTTGATCATGTCCTGACATACAACAGTTAGTAGCTTCTTCATGGGCATGTCCCAACACATGTGACTATCATCTTCATTGTGGGCATGTGCTAATACACGTGACCATCAACTTTGTTGTGAGTGTGTCCTGACCACCAACAGCATCATCGTGGGCAGGCCCCAATATATGTGGCAGTTGACATGTTCTTTCCTCCTGTAGTCCAAGCCCAGTCTTAGTCCCAGACTTTACTTTGACTCCAGTCATAAAAGGAATCCTGATTCTGGTCCTAAGCTGAGCTCTGATTAAGTCTCAGTCACAGAAAGGCCCTGATCCTGGTTCTAGGGCTGAACCCCCACCCTGGCTTCAACTTTGGTTCTACCCTAGCCATGGGAGGAAACCTCACCCTGTCCCCTAGAGTTATCTCTGACCCTACTCATGGATTGAGGTCCTGGCCCCAGGGTGAACTGCCCCGCACCCAGCAGATGCTGTCAACTGCAATTTAGTGCAGTGTGGAGAACAGCTACCTACAAGATTGGGCTAACAGAAGTCACAACAAATAGTCCTAATAAAATAAAACTTAAAAAACCCCACATACACACATAGATAATTCAAAACAAAGGAAGGAATCCCCAGGTCTCAAAAGGGAAGAGAGAACTCAAAGCCAGGGGAGTAGAGGAGGCTGATGCTTCCATAGCCACTGATACAGGTACGGAGGGCAAGAGTTTGGGTTCTGAGGCCCCTGCAAGACTGGGAGATGTGGTGTGGACCTGGGAGAAGCTAGAAGTTTGGAACCATGCCCAAGAACTGGAGTTAGCAACAAAATAACTGGAAATCATAGAAGAATATGAATGAGACAATAAAAAAAAGTGTTTTAGTTGTTATAAAGTTTAAGAGAACTAACAGAACTCCAAATGAAAAAACAGGACAGGACAACAACAACAAAGAATAAGCACATTTAAAAAGGATTCCTAAAGATCTGTTATTGAAACAAAAAGCATAGTTGCTGAGATAAAAAAGAAATCCCTGGCTAGGATTAATGGTATACTAGAACCAGGTAAAGAAAGAAAAGTGAGTCAGAAAATAAATCTTAGGAGATTACTCAGAATATAACCCAGAAATTTAAAGAGATACAGAAGAGATATCAATGAGCAGTTAAGAGATACTGAGGACTAGTGAGTAAATCCCAGGGTCTACCTAATGTGAGTCTCAGGGGGAAAGAATAAAAAGAATGAGAAAGAGACAATATTTGAAGACTAAATGACTCAGAATTTCCTAAAGTTGAACAAAGATATGAGGCTTCAGTTTGAAGATGTGTAAAGTCCCAAGCAAGGAAGTAAAAACAAATATTTACTTTTCTAGATCTGTCATAGTAAAACTCTTGAACACAGCGGACACACAGAAAAATCTTAAAAATGAGAGAGAGAGAGAGAGAGAGAGAGAGAGAGAGAGAATGCAAAGCTATCAGATGCCTTCAACAGGAATGACTACTGCCTTAGTGAGTGTTAGACTGACAGCAGACTTCTCATTGGCAATAGCAGATGGCAGCAGATGATGGATCAGGAGCTTCAAAAACTTGAGTCAAAACACCTTTCCACCTAGAATTCAATACCTAGCTAGTCCCATTTCTTTAAGAGTGAGGCAAGGGGGCTAGCAGACTTCTGGCCCCAGGGTCATAAAGACCCAAAGTGAGCCACAGGGAGCTGACCTTGTCACACTGTTTGAGGAGCCATACTGATCAATAAGCCAATACCATTAGGCAGCTGGGTCTGGCTGGACTCCAGGCCAAAGCTCTGGTGGATGGGTCCCAGGAGTCTCCTGCCAGAGCTGTCATGGAGCCACATTCAGCTACATGTTCAGAAGCAGTCCTTCCAGAGACTGTGTTCTGTGAGAGTAGAACTGCCTTCTGCTCTCTGGGCTTTTCTGTCACAGAAACTGATGAAGAGAGAAGCTCCTCTTCCTCTCTTCTCTGGTCCAGGTGTTTCCTCTGCTGCAGCAAGCCTCAGACTGGGTTGCTGGGGTTGCTCTTGTTTTTCCAGAGGAGTTTACTCACTGCTTCAGGCCAGCATCATTTCCAGGCTTTTTCCTGAGCAGAGTCTGGGGGAGGATGAAGGGACAGCTTAGCTTAGCACAGAGCCTCTGCCCACACTTCTGGAGCTCAGGAAGCCACCCCATCCCAGGGAACAGCTGCCCTGGGAAGCAGGCCCACCAGAAACGCCTGGTTTGAGGAAGCTGCACCAGCATCAGGGTTTCCCCTAAGGGACCATATTACAGTCTAGCGTTTTTCTCTTTTAAAAGATACAAATGAGACCTGTTGGGTCATTACTAACACTGTCAAGAGCTGATAGAGCCCTTTGGGATCCATAGTCTCTTGAGAAGATGACCTGAACACCTGGAAAGAAAAGAAAGTGAGGTGATAGAGAAAACAAGTGGCATGGGTAGAGGTGGCTGCTTGCCACTCAGAGCACATGGGAGAGGCAAGGCTCTGTGGGAAGAAAGGGAGGAAAGGGGTGTTCTGTGAGGGAATGGGGTGAGCAAAGGCTGGTGCCCAGAAAATGGAGGGTTGCTGAGATGGGAGTGAGGGGAAGGGATTGGGGCAAGGACCCTCCTCCTGAGACAGATGTGGAAGGAAAAGGAAGGGCAGAGCACTCCATTCCCTTCAGTGCTGGGGGCTCCTCATGGTTGCCACATGCATATCTGCTCAACTTGAACCAGGGACATGCTGGGGCAAGAGGTCAGTGGAGATCCAGGTCAGGGAGGGCCCTGGCGGGTCCAAGCCCTTCCTGTTAATTCACTTTCCTGGGAGAAATCTTGACTTCCCTGTACTTTCTGAATGGATTTTATTTTGTGATGAGATCATCAGGGCAGGTGCCACACCCAGGATCCCTGTGAGTGGCCTCATTCTGGCAAAGGTTTCTCTGCCAAACACACTTGTCCTATCTTTTGTTTAAGACCTACTTTGCACAGAATGCTCAAGGGTGACCATCTCTGATTTCAGTGGCATCTGAACTTAGTTTTCGTGGGGTTCTGCCTTTTTTCCTGAACAAACAGTGGACTCAACCAAGTGTCATTTAGTTGTGCATGTCTCCACATGCATGCATGTCTGTGTGCATGTGTGTGCATGTGTGAGCAGACATGCAGCACATGCATGTGCATGCATCGCTGTGCACACTCAAGTGTTGTCCCTGCTTGTGGTTGTTTCCTCCTTGAGTTTCAAGCCAGGTACTAACGGACTCTGCATTTGGGCAGGTTTGCCACTGATGGTCTGATCAAGAGGTGTAGGATGGGGGTAGATGAAGAGGTCATGGTTTTTGTGGGAGGTGGGGGGTGGGAGGGATCAAGGCTGGGGAACAAGAGTGGAAATGGGGCCTGGGTGCCGAGGATGAAGCCTGTCTCTTACCCCCTTTGCTCTGTTTCTTGATTCCAAGCCTCCATTCGGAGAAGAAAAGGGGGTGAGTCATCCACTTGTGTCCCCAGGGCCTCGGCTTTGCCTGACCCCTGTCCAGGGAGTGCTGGTGTGTGAGGAGGTTCCAGTTCAAGTCAGGGTGGTCTGGAAGCCTGGGCTGCACCCTTCTGCCGGCCTTCTCCCTGGGGATCTGGTAGGGTATGAGAGAAGGACCCGGGAAGAATGGATGGGGAGTTCCTAGGGGTGTTACCCTTGGGCGACGTGCTGGGGAGGCGCAGCCGTGGGCCTTGGGGGTTCAGGTGAGCTGAGGGCCGGTGAGAGCTGCACAGATAACCGGGTATAGACGGCCTGGGAGGGAGGAGTGGGAGAGCCCCAATGGAGGCACGGTGCGTGCGTGACCCGCGCGAGGTGGGGAAAGGGCTCCCGGCGCTCCTCAGCGGAGCTTGGGGGCAGGGTGGCTGGGCCGTGCCAGCCTGTGTGGCTTCTGTCTTCCTGCCCTCTAAGGCAGGGGTCCCCAACCCCCAGGCCATGGACTGACACGGTCCCTGGCCTACTGGGAGCCAGGCTGCACAGCAGGAGGCGAGAGGTGGGCGAGCAGAGCTCCGCCTTCTGTCAGATCAGCAGCAGCGATAGACTCTCATAGGAGTGCGAATCCTGTCGTGAACTGCGCATGCGAGGGATCTAGGTTGCATGCTCCTGTGGGAATCGAGTGCCTGATGATCACCTTCCCCCATCCTGGTCTGTGGAAGAATTGTCTTCCATGAAACTGGTCACGGGTGTCAGAAAGGTTGGGGGCTGCTGCTCTAGCGGGCATGTGCTTGGGCTATGGACCGCACTCCTGTGCTTTTGAGCAGGGGTCTGAGTGCCACAGCACTGGGGAGGTAGCTCGAACCTCCCCTGTCCAACAGCCCTCTAGACTGTGGACTTCACCCTCTGAACCCCTGTGCAGGGCTCTCCTCTGTACTCTTTGAGGCTCCTCCCTGTACTGAGGCCCAGCATCTGGTGAGGTTCTGGAACCTGGTCTTGGGACAGCCTCTTCTGCCTCTTGAGTGGATGGGCGTCAGGGCCCAGATGGAAGCCTGAGGGGGTTTTGCGGCCCCAGCTGTGTGTGTTTGCTCACGGTCCATGTGCCTGACACCCATCCCCGTTTAGCTCCAGATCTGCTGGCCTTCTCTAGGCCAGGAACACATTCACCTGGCCCCCTCACCCAGCTCTCCTTCATGACCTGCAGTTCCTTTGCCCTGTGAAGTCCCCTGCTGTCCCTTGCCCCATTCCTGGTGAAGGGCATCCCAGTGTCTTTTCAGATACTTAAAAACATATGGTAAGGTCTCCTTCAGGGAACTTTTCTCCATGCCTTTGGAGCAGACACATGAACTGTTTCTGGAATAATCTGGTTCTGTTCTCCTGCTCACTCGTGGGGCTCCCAGGGTGCTGTGCTGTGGCCTTTGCGCTTCTTCTGGTCGTGGAAGAAGTGATGCCCTATTCAACAGTCCCAACCCTGCTTGCACCCTGTTGATCCAGCAGCTGTAGACTTGGGTACATCAGTCACACACTCAGAGGGTCCTGTGTGAGGTGACGGGGGTCCACCTGGCTCCTAATGGACTTCATTTTCTCTTTTAAAGCACCTTCATTTTCTCTTTTAAAGCACCTTAAAATAAACAATTTAAGAGTACATTTTCTAATATTAGGGGGGACTTTATGTCAACCTCATCAGTTTGTAATTGGCAGAATTATTGATTCTTTCCTTTTTGAAAATAACTCTCACCTGGCCTCAGCACCATTGCCCCATGACCAAAAACTGTTGCCTCACTACACATGTTCACACTGCTTGGGGTCTCTGGGATCAAGTTTTCTGGACCCAGAGGTGCAGCCTCTCCTAACCTGTGACTGAGGTGTCAACGTGTCTTGCATCATGACATGCCATGTATACCCCACAGAGTTTTCTCTCCATTCACATCTTTGCTTCTGCAGTTTCTGGATAGTGTGGTAGTTAGGCCAGAAACTTATTGGATCTATGATCTGGGACAGTTTATCTCTATATCTGAGCTTCACTGTGCTCCTGGACAAAATGAGGGTGATAATAGGATCTTCGGTTGTGGGATGAGTGAGAGAATTCATGTAAAGTCTAGGATGCTCTGGAAATCACCAAGATCTTAAGAAATGGTGGCAACAGTGATTCCAGCTTCCAAGAAGAAGTTATACATTTTATGAAAAAAACAAATGAGAAGACCTCTCAAACCAGCAATCCCCAGTCTGCACCCGGTGGCGCAGGGAGCCATACACAGGCTCAGCTATTCTGTAGTTGGAGTGTGCTTTGCTGGTCTACTCTTGTATTGTTCAGGGCACAGGCTGGGTGCTGGTGGACACCGAAGGGTATTTGCTGTCTTCTTCTGTGGACTCACAAGCCATCTGAGGAGACAAGGCACAGACATGAAGAATTATAGTGAATATATGCTCAGCGCCTGGATGGGCCAGCACAGTTGTGGCCCTTATGTGCTGATTCTCACGTGAAGAGACACATAAAGCAGATGGTGTTTTTATGCTTGTTTTATCAGATGTGGACATGGTCGCAAAGAGCTTAAGTCAGGAGAGAGTCAGTGTACAGGGCGAGTCTGTTCCCTGTTGGGTACAAGATAGTCTCTGGGAGTTCATTTACTTTCCCACAGCAATTGCTATGTGGATCGCAGAGGTAGAACCAGCAGGTGCTGTGAACAGCTGCAGATTGGGGTTGGAAGAGGAGGAGGTATCCATCCAGACTGATCATTTAAGCTCTCCAACAAGGAACCCTGAGAATTAATGGATGCGAGGACAAGTGGGACCAGACATGTGGCGCCCCCTGGGGTTGGCACAGCCCCAAAGAGTTGAGAAGGGCCTGGGATGTGTGGAACCTTAGTGGTAGGAGAGGTGTAGTGGGACTGAAGAATGAGAGGGCTGTTGCAGCAGCTAGGTGGACACAGGTGCCGCCCCCAGCCCCACCTGGATGCCCCTTGTGCTGGCCCTGAGGAGGCTCTGGGATGGAGCTGAGTGGACCCACCAGGAGCAAGAGACACTGACCCGCAGGGGGAGGCATCCAGCCAGAGCTCTGATGAACCTCAGATTCACATGTTAGTGTCACAGTTTTCTTTCTTTTTTTTTTGAGTCGGAGTCTCACTGTCGCCCAGACTGGAGTTCAGTGGCCGCTCCCGGCCACCGCAGCCTCGACCTGCTGGGCTCCAGCGATCCTTCCACCTCAGCCTTCCAAGTAGCCGGAATTACAGGCGCATGCTACCATGCCTGGCTAATTTTTTTTTTTAATTTATTGTAGAGATGAGGTCTCATCAAGTTGCCCAGGCAGGTCTCGAACCCGTGGGCTCAGGCAATCCACTCACCTCAGCCTCCCAAAGCGCGGGATTACAGGCTGAGCCACCGAGCCCGACCAGTGTAACAGTTTTCAAATCACTTTAATAATATAAAATAACACTTTAAAAATATTAATTTTGCTTTAATAGAAACAAGCAAACTGAAAAAGCTTTTCTTTTATAATGGACCTGAAAAGAGTGCTGCTGAGGCATGGGCTCTCTTCCAGCATGGGCCTTGTTCTGTTCTGATGTTAGCCCCAGCTGGGTCTTCCTAACCCCTTCTCCACTTCTCCAGCTTCCAACTGCTTTCTAGGGGGCTGGCGGAAGCTCTGACAGTGAGGAAGGGCCCTCCTAGCACCCCCCACCATTTTCTCCTCTTTTCTTGGGTAGAGCTGCTTTTCTTCCAGGTAAAGGAAGAAAATTTTTTGGCCTGTTCTGCATCAAACCACTTTTTAAGGTCCCTAGCCTGGGGTGGCACCTCTCTTTCTAGAAAGTATCCCCTATGTATCTGCTCATTCATTCATTCCTTATTGACTTAAAGGCTATTCAGACATCTTTTGAGAATAACCTGCTCGTATAGCAGGGTATGTCTTAGGGCTCTGGCCCAGCTGCCAACTGGATCCTTCCCTTCCAGTGCAGTGGGGCAGACAAGAGTAACAAGTCATGTGCTGAGAACAGTGACAACACAAAGGGGCATAGAAATTAGGGAGACTGTGGGCTCTAAGCAGTTTATCCCCTGCCCTGGCTTCTCCCTTGTGGTCTGAGTGGCCTTTCCTTGAGTGGGGTCCAAAAGGCCACCTGGGGTTTCCTTGAGGACAGATAGACTGGTTTGGGGAGTGGTTCTGGGGTGTGAGGGCCTCGTCTTAGGGTGCAGGGAGCTAACCTCTGGTAGTGAGGGGCCCATTGGCCTCTGTCAGCACCATGGGGTGGATGAGCCTAGGGAGGATGAGGCAGTGGGGCAGGGGGCCAGTCTAGACACTGAGAGGAGGCCTTCTTGGCTGTGCAGAGAAGCTAGATGAGATCCTGGCAGCTGCTGCAGAGCCAACACTGAGGCCGGACATCGCGGACGCCGACTCCAGAGCTGCCACAGTCAAACAGCGGCCCACCAGTCGGAGGATCACTCCTGCCGAGATAAGTGTAAGACCCACAGGAGCACCAGGTCGGGTGGGCACGGGAGTCAGAGCGTCTCGTCGCCTCTTTACTGAGGTGAGAGTCCCTCATTTGGACCCCTTCTCTGGAGGGAGTGAAGCACCCCACAGCCTCTCAGAGACACCTGGGGCCATCTTGGCCCCAGAATAGCCACAGCTCAGCACTGTGGCTTTTGGTGACTGTGACTTTGGGCAGTTTCTGTGTCACAGCTGGGACCACCTAGATGCCCAGCCCCATTACTCAGTGCCCATGGGGTTGCACACTCTGTCCAATGGGCACCCCCCCATCCACGACTCTCCAGTGGGTGCCCCCATCCATGCCACAGCATGTCTCTGTTCCTTGCCCACTCTCCCCCATAGTGCCTTCTGGGCTCCACCCCTAGGCCATACCCAGGGTCTGCGCCCACTCGCCCAGCACCATCTACACTGCCTATACAGCCCAGGCCCCAACAGGCTGAATCCCTTGCTCCCCAAGGGCAGAGCTCAGATCCAATTCCTGGGTCCAGGTATTACAGGAACTAGTTCTGCTGGGGTGAGTGCATGGGGTATCTTACCTCTGGCATAGGAGGAGGACTGGGGGCCCCAGTGCCCTGGAACTTCCATATTCCCCCTCCCTGACCCCCACAGTCATTGTTTGAGCGCCAGGGCCTTCCAGGCCCAGAGAAGCTGCCGGGCTCCTTGCGGAAGGGGATTCCACGGACCAAGTCTGTAGGTACGGCCTGGCTGTGGGGCTTGCATGAGGCTGGGAGAAATGGGGCCGGCTGGGTGGATTTGGGTTGGAGGACCCTGCCTCTCGCTACTCCCAACTGCGGTTTCCAGTTTCCCTTTTAGTCCTGCCTTTATGTGGTCCCAGCCCAAGGGTCTTTATGTTTGTGGACATAGGTGGGGTCAGTCCTCCCCCCAACGCCAAAGTACAATTGCTGGAAGAAACCCCAGAGATTCCCTCCTTCCTCCACTCTCTTTTCAGCGAGTCCCCCATCCTCTGCTCCTGTCCACTGGGCACCCCCCATTCTCCACTCCCTGCCCAGTGGACACTGCCCATCTTCCACTCTCTGTCCGGTGGGTTTCCCCGTCCTCCACTCCCCACCCAGTAGATACCCCCATTCTCTGTCCAGTGGACACCCCATCTACGGCTCACCCGTGGATACCCCCATCCTCTACTCTGTCCAGTGGACACCCCACATTTCCTACTCCCCACCCAGTGGTTCCCCCCATCCACCTTTCACCCCTTCATAGGAACCAGCAACCCTGTTCCCAGATCAGCTGGCTTTGATCCTGGCCCAAGTGCATGTCAAGTTCCTGATCTCAAAACTACTCTTCCCTTGAACTACCTCGCCACTGCCTTTCCAGGCGTTGCTCCCTCCTCCCCTTCACAGTCAGTTTTCCCCAGAAAGTCACCACTACTCACCATTTCCTGTCCCCTACCCACCCCTCAGCCTGCACAGGCTTGCTCTCTCCATACCCAAAGTTGAAACTGCTCCCACCAGGGTCACTGGTGGCCTCGAGGGCGTTTCTCCCAGTGTATGCATGGCCAGCCCTCCTCCTACTGAAGTCAGCTGGCATCTGGTTTCTTGGCTCCCTCCTCCATGAGACACTCCTAACCAGAGTTTTAGGACAACACTTCTGGTGGCCCCTGCTTTCTCAGGCTGTCCTTGTTCCTTCCCTGCTGCCACAGCCCACCAAATGTGGGACCTTCTCAAGGCTGTGACCTTGGCTTCCTTCCCTCTGCCTCTTTATCCTCCAGCTACCATCACACCCCACACTTCATCTCCTTCCTGACCCCGGATTGGGACATCTAACAAACCCCAGCCACTGTGCATCCCTCTAGGCATCCAGCCTCCCCTCATGTGCCCACCTATTCCTGCATCCACTCACAGACCTGCCCAGTTGTCTGTCTGGTCCATGCACATCCGACCACAGCCACATCAGTTACACACCAGAGCAAACCTCTGCTTAGCACTGACTACAGTTGAACACTGAGCATTTCATACTTACAATAGCCACATGGAAGTGACACCATAAGTGCTTCTGTTTTGTAGGTAAGGAAACTGAAGCAAGGAGTGGCAAATGATCAGCCCCAAATCACAGAGCTGCCCTACATGTCATTTTCTGTTCAACTTCTAGCCAACTAGCTGTCCAAACTCTGATCCCTCGCCCATCCCAAGACCCTGCTGATTAGTGCCCACACTAGGCAGGTCCCAGGCTGAGTCTGGGGCTCAGTTGGGGGAGGTGGCATATCTGCAAACAGCTCAGCAGTGACATGGTGGGTGTCAAGGCACATATACATGTGCCACACCTGGCCAGAAGGTGCATTTGAGCTTAGTTGTGCAAGATAAGTTGAGTTTCCAGGGGACCGTGGATGAATTGTTGCCAGGCCAGTGTGTAAAAGGCACATGGTGGCCTGGTCCTTCAGGGACTGCCAAGAGTTATTTCTGGAGGTGGGAGGGTAAAGAAGAAGGCTGTGCAACTACTTTGGGGCCAAGAGGTACTTGCCCTTGTCCTCCCTGGCCTAAAGCCTGCATGTCTTCCATGATTTCTTTTTTACCTTCTGCCTCACCTGGCAGATCAGGGTGGGCTACCCTCTTGCAGACCTTGCCCTTGCCTTGCACAGGCCTTGTGTTTTGCACCTGGACCCTGGCTTTGTTCTCATGACCTCCTGCCCTGACTTTGCCTTCTCATCCCTGTCTTTGGCCAAAAGAGGCTTTCTGTAGAGTTGTTCTCATCCTGCATCCCTCTAGCTTGACCCACTGTGGGCTCCTCATTGCCTCAAGGCCCTGGGAATCAGCTCCAGCCCTGTCCTGCTTCGTCTTAGGACATTTGTCCTTCCCGTGACTGGGTCTTCTGGCACTCGGTTTTCCACCTGCCCTCACTCTGCCTGGTTGGCCTGTCCCTCAGCCCTGCCCCATCCCAGGAATGACCAGTGCAGTCCAGGTCTATACACCTGCCTGGGAGGCCTTGGCCACTCGGCAGGAACTGCCAGCTTCTCCCTGGTTCCTCCTGCACCCTCATGTGCTCAGATGATGAGCGGACTGACATTCCCCTTGGTCTGGTGTGCTTCCTGTTGCCAACACATGCATAGCTTGAGTTGTCAAGACTCCCCAGGCTCTTGCCCAGGCTCCTGCCCCATGTCCTGGCTGTGTGGCCCTAGGCACATGATTCAACCTTTGCAACCTCCAATCCACGAATGTGGAGACCACCTAGTACTCATCCCCAAGGACCTCAGTGTGAGCTGAGGCTCACCCAGTGGTCTCACAGACCAAGGAGTGTGCTTGGCATGCCAGGATGCCCAGCAGCTGCAAACATTTTTAGTAGTGGTAGATCCTGTGTCTCAAGACTAGCACACAGTAAGTGCTCGAGAAACACTCTCCTAGGATTTGAGCAAAGAGGGTCACCCTTTGCCCCATAGGGTCCCGTCCCTACCCTAGATGGTGTCAGAACAGATTCTCCATTCAGTGCAGAGGCAAGTGCCTTTTTACCCTAAGTCAAAACTTGGCATCCATTAGCATTAAATTCCCCCATTTTTGTCTTCACACGTCACTCCCACCTTCTGCATCCTCAAGGTGTGCTGGTTCTGCTTAGCTCCGTCTAATGCACAGGCTGTGGGTGTTCAGTGCGTGTTCTTGCACTGCACAAAAATTGCATCAGAAGAAGACCCAGGATGAACAGGGCACAGATGCTGTGTCCAGTGGTGGTGGTGGTGGGGGGGAAGGCTGACCTAAGAATAATGAGGATAATAACCTCTGCTACCTTCCTGGAATGTGCCACTGGGGCAGCTCTGTATTTTAAACTGCAAATTGTCCCATGACAGCAGCAGGCTGTCCACTCGAGAGGAGGAAGCTGAAGTTCCTAAAGGTGAGGGAACATCAGTACCTGGCAGAGCTAGAACTCCAGCCTAAATCTGTCCACAGATGCCCATCCTTGCTATAGCTGGGGCCACAAGAGCTATTGTGCCCAGGGAGATACAGACAGTGTAGCACTGGTGGCTTCATCAGCACTGTGGTGCAGAAGGAGGGTGTGATCAGAAACAGGCAGTGTGCATCGTAGTGAGTTCACAAACATAATAACCAAGCCCAGAGTGAGGCTGACTGTAGAGCAGCACTGGAGACAATGTGGAGCCATCCATCCACTGCCCTTAGATTGTGCTGTCCAGTACCTGCAGCCTAACGAAACACATCTGCAACCTAGGTGTCTACATTATGTCCACAAGGATACTCTGGAGATTCTGTCAGGTTCTAGTTGGACAGCAGGATGATGAGGGCCCTGAGCACTCCAGCCCTTGCATTGGATCCTAAGACCCTGAGTGAGGCAGGCAGAGTGGGTTTCCTTTTAAGCCTGTGCTGCCATGAGAGAGCCAAAGCTCGGGGGCTTAGGGCCTGGTCTGGGGTTACACTGCCAAGAGGGCATAAAAGTAAAACATGCTTCTCCATTTTAATTCATCCATCCATTGTTCCTTCCACCCACTCACCCAACCTTATTGAGTTTTAGCTACTGTGGTTACATCACCCATCCATGTGGGTCTTGGGGAGGCACCTCTCAGGGTTTCCTCCAAGAGCGCGCCTCCTCCCCTGAGCATCAGTCTTCTCTGTCAGGTGCATGCTGTCCCTCATCTACAGCCAGCATACCACTGCAGTTCTAGGGGTGTCCCTGCCTCCAGGCCTCCCACTGGTCCTTGCTTGTTCCACTACTGGTCTTTCTGAGACGACCTTGTCAGTCTTGGGTGGGGAGCCCTGTTCTAGCCCCTGGTCGCTCTGCTCATCAGTTCTGTCTCCACGTCTGAAGAGGCTGCTCCTACCCCCCTACCCTCCTGAGCTGTCTTCTCAGTCCTGCTTATGTGCCTTGGCTTGGGCAGATTTTGGCCCAACCCAGGTGGAGGGGCCAAAATTGGGTCCTTTCTCAGGGTTCCCCTGGTGGGGTCCCCCCTTACCTTCCCTGTGCAGCCTTTTTTTTTTTTTTTTTTTGAGTTGAAGTCTCTTGTTGCCCAGGCTGGAGTGCAGTGGCACACTCCTGTCCACCGCAGCCTCGACCTGCTGGGCTCAGGCGATCCTTCCATCTCAGCCTTCCAAGTAGCTGGAACTACAAACGCATGCCACCATTCCCGGCTAGTTTTTTTGATTTCTCGTAGAGATGGTGTCTCACCAAGTTGCCCAGGCTGGTCTCAAACCCCCGCGGTTCAGGCAGTCCTCTCGCCTCAGCCTCCCACAGTACTGGGTTTACAGGCTGAGCCACCGTGTCAACCTGCAGCCTTGGGCCTGTAATGCAGAGCTGTGGCGCCTAGGGAAAAGCCCAGACCGGGGTCTTGCTCAGAATCCCTGCTCTGGGCGCCCTGCTCCTCCCCTGCCCTCCGTCCCTGTTTTCCGCAGTTGGCCAGCTTCTGCCAGGTTCTGCAAGGCGTCCAGGCCACCCTGTGTCTGGGGCCACGGCTGCCTTGGGGTGGAGGCGGGCACTACCAGCCCTGCGGGAGGCGGTGCTGGGGTCCCCAGGGGCCTCTCCGAAGGGTCTCACCGGGCCCTTCCGTCCGCAGGGGAGGACGAGAAGCTGGCGTCCCTGCTGGAAGGGCGCTTTCCGCGCAGCACGTCGA